CTATCTCGCTGGATCAAATAGTAGTCCTTGAAATGGGTCCCAAAGAGCACTATCCCGATATTGGGTTGTCTGTCCGTCGCCTGTTCAATCAGTGCTGGCAGCAGTATAACTCAAACACCAACTTGAAGTTGATAAAGGATGAAGTTGGATCATGGTCATCTTGTAAACGCGCCAGTCGCAGGGAGGAAATCTTGTTATGTCGCATGCGAATAGGACATACACGATTCACTCACGGACATATAATAGATAGAGACCCCAGGCCTGCATGTAACCGATGTTTGTGTCCCCAGTCAGTTAAACATATACTTGTGGAGTGCCCAGTGTATGCTACTCACCGACAATCGATTGTTCAGAAGTGCCTTCAATTGGATGTACCACTTACCCTGAAAACTCTTCTGGGTGATCAACACCCGGACATCACTGACGAGGTTTTCAGGTTCCTACGTGCTACCAATCTCTTCAAAAAGCTGTGACTGCGATGATCTGCGATGAACTAGCTGTGATTATTTGTGTTTGAAGCTATCATGTGCAATTATTGGATTATGTTAGTCTACCTGCCGATTGGCGAACCCCGTCGCGACTGATGCGGAGGGCATGGCCGTCGATCTGGCACATTGATGTGATCTCCTGCTTTTGTAATTTGTGTTGATTGTTTACTTTATCGTCTCTCTGGTGTTTTGTGTTATGTGCTGCGACTGCTCTGTGGACGTCCTCATGTGTGTAACAGTCGTGCATTGTGTGGGAATGATTGGATGAATGGAGATTGAATGTTGAATGAGAAGGATGCGGGAGTGGAGATGCATCGGTGTGAGAGATGGATGCAGTTAGTGGATGAATGAAGAGCAGCCTGTACTGGTTTGCTACTGTAGTTTCTTTTTCTAGATTTCTCTTGGATGTATACCTTCGTTAATCTTTTTTGTACCATCCGGTCCCTTCTTTTGTAGAAGTAGTCGCATAGTTCCGAAGTTGAGGCTCGTTATGATCGGTATGATCATGAGACATGAACCCTCCAACGCAAGTTGATAACTGAGTGAGGTACCAAGAGCAGACTCGTGCCTGAAGATCCTTTTGAACTGAATGGCTCGCTGGACAGATGCGAGGTCAAGAGCGTTATGATTGAATGACTCATAACCAGAAACCATCCTTTTTGTTTCTATTTTTAAGTTTTTAATCAGTTATATGTTAGAAACTAACCGTTACTAATATACTTCACCGGACATTTCCTGCCTGGACATATCCGAAGCCCGCGCATACATCCCCATGCCATCCCATGCTAAACCTATCATTTTCCTTCATCTGCTTAGTTTCCCTCTGCACAATCTGGCTGCAACCGATTGCAACATCTACTCGATCGAGACAAGAATGGCGCACTGATGACAACAACTACGGACGCTTGAGCCCAACGAGGCTATGCGCCCTAACCCAACAAGTACAAGTAAGTGCATGGGAAAAACTTTGAGTCATATTAACTTACTAATTTGAGAAGGTTCAATAAAAACTTCAGTGTGGTAGTTGACACTGTTTTGCTCTTGACCATAGGACAAAATGGTATGTTTTTTCATGCAAGTGATTTGGTTCAAAATGGATTTGAAAATCATGCTACATTTTCACAAAATTGAAACATCTCCAAAACTCTCTGTGTACCACATAAACTAGTGGGTGTACAGGGAAAATGAATGCATAGGTGTATTGTCACATGTATTGCACATGTTTCCTGAAAAACTTGTGCAAATCCACCCATTCATTCATCATCCTCTTCCTCTTCTCCGGATACATGCATATTTTGAGATGGATGTGGGGTGCTAAGGGACAGGGAAGAAAAATAAAAATTAATAGGGTAGCCTGGGGCAAGACGCCCCAGATAATTTATTTTGCTACATAACTTTTGTCCTACATCACCTGGAAGGCCAAATTTGTGCTCAATGCGTTCTTTGGACATTTTACTTTAAATTCCACCCTTCAAATTCATTCACTTATGATCGGACTCTCAGCTATGAAGTGATTTGTGAAGCAACTGCAAATGGGGCATTTTGCCCCAACCCCAGGGCAAAACGCCCCACGGCCTGGGGCAAGTAGCCCCATACTTAAGATTAAAGATTTAACATGGTAGTTGGCTAAATCTTATGTGAGAGGTCCGTTAGACCTCTGGAGGCACGGCACTGAAGTTAGCACCTTCCATGCTATCAGGTGTTCAGCTATGACACTATTGTATGAGCAGGTTTTTCACCTACCTCATCAGACCAAATAATAAATTATTGCAATGCAAATGTTAACAAAATACTTCCTTTGCCATCCAGTTGCTGAGAAAAATACACATAAAGGCATAGAAACTTACTGTTTGCCAGCTACCGAACATTAGGAAGTGGGTAGTACGAACAACACATGAGGCAAAACGCCCCATGGGGCTTTTTGCCCCGCGACCTACTGGGGCATTTTACCCCATCACGTAGTTCGGTCAGAAAACAACGCCTTGCACTCCAGCAAGACATAATTTAACACGAACCAACCCGGCATTATAAGCGTTAGATAATAGTTGTTCAAAATACATAAAAGTTGTTAACCTGATGTGGACCATAAAAGAACGCCATGATGCATAACCTGACAACAAAACATAAAAATCACTCCAAAAACACATTTTTGGCTATATCTCCCTAAGGAGTCATTACAATTTCTTTCCAGTCTGGTCATATAATGATCATATAGTGCACGTTTTATAGAAGAGAGAATATTTCCCCAGATCGTGGCCAGTTCCGAGAAACATCGGTGAGGCGTTTTACCTGGGCGGGGCGACTTGCCCCGGTCTACCCTATCTAAATATAATTTCATTAAGTTTTCTTTCAGTAGGCATGGAAAACACCAAATTCCACATAAAATGCTGGCAAGTTCATGCTTTTATCTCTAACACATCTTAAAGGAAATAGTTCACATTTTAACATGGGTTTTTAACTGGAATAGCAGTTCCGTAGCTTGGGCTGAGACGAGCATAAATCAGGAGCTTTTACAGCCCAACGATCACCCTAGGCAAAGATATTCTATTTCTCGTCCCGAAAAAGGTGCCTTGCGTTGAGGTTGTGTGCCTTGCATATATTCGCATCCAGTATGAAACGAGCATGGGTCCCGAAAATTCTTCAGAAACGCTCCAGTAACAAAAGAAAATTATTCAGAAAATTCTTCAGAGGCGCTCCAGTAACAAATGCATGAGCAGATCGCCCAAATGCCGGTGGCCGCGATAATTTCTCTAGCTTCTGAAGAATTTTCGGGACCCATGCTCTTTTCATACTGGATCGCGTGTGCCTTACAGAAACTGAAAAGTTCTTCCTATATCAAAAATATAGAAAATAATATTTTGTTATAAAAAGGTTTTATGTTCTTTGCTGATCATTTTGAACATAAAAAATCATAAATCCATTGCAAAAAATATAATTTCGTGAAAGTGAACTATTTCCTTTAAGTTATGTAACAAAACATCTCAACACTCTCTTTTACAATGATGGGTTAACCCTCGCCCGCACATGCCATTTTCCCATCCTAGAACGCACATGGGGGGGGGGGGGGTGGTTGCCACCCCCCCCGCGCCATTTCGTTCCTGTTGGAGATAGAGCTTAGCAGTAAAGACCAAAAAGATTCTTTGGGAAGAGACGAATCCAATGATACCCAGTTTTACCTTCTCAGGTCAGTCATTGACCTTCCAGGTCAGGTCAAACTAAAAAATGTTGCTGTTTTGGGTCACCGTTGGATATCAAGTGTGCTGCTTATCAAATACCGATGACGATGCTGTTTTCTGGTGCCAAGCCAGCTAGAACCTCTTTGTCACACTACCCGACCAGAATTTTGCTGCTGAGGTCATTTCAGGTCAAGTTAGGTCAAGGTCAATTATATGTGTTTGTATGTCTGTGTGTGTCTGTGTGTACCTATACTGATGTGTGCACCGATTGTTTTTGGGTCCATATTACATGAAATCATGATCTGAGAAGCTTTTACCAAAAATGCAGTCAAAAAACTTCAAAAAAAGTAAATTCAGCTTGCCTAAAACGCAATTATCTTAGGTGACCTAGGTTGACCTTGACCCTGACCTTGACCCCTGAACATCGTCGAACAACATGTTCCATGATAGGTAGGAGGTAAGACTGGCAAAAAAGGCCGAAATCAGGGTGTCAAAAGCTCATAAGGCCCATGGCAAACGCAAGATGTTGAGAATTGGCCATTTGGGTCATGACATGACCTGAAAAACAAGGTCATATCTCCGAAACCAAAAATCACAGAAACTTGAAATTTTCAGTGGACATCAAGAAAGGATAGAGGAGCAGCTATACGAAAAATCAGCCTTCTAGCTCTAAAAATGTTGAGTGCAGAGCAGAAAGACTACCTGGGGGGGGGGGGTGGCAACCACCCCCCCCCCATGTGCGGGCGAGGGTTAATGGAGACTGATGTAGGTATATGTGATGTCATCATGAAAAGGCTAAAACAAAGAGGGCAACATAATGACAAGTGACTAGCTTCAACATGGGTTTTTATTGATGACAGAAGATTACTTTTTGGTTATGTTTACCTTATAATTAGCACTTTTTCCACAAGCGTAAACTGCATTACACGTAATTGGCTAAAAAGGTCATTAGTGGTGAATGAACCTGACTTGCTTTGTGACAGAATATGCGAAACATTTCAAAAAATAAATTGTGTGCCCTTCCACACCCCAATTGTGTGCATTTGATGACCATTTCTTGGAATAATATAGGTGTCCCTTAACACCCCACATTGGGGTGCTAAGGGACAGTGATGAAAAATAATGAAAAATAATATGCAGGTATAAATCTTAAAAACTTTAATGTGGCAGGCATGTAAAGCACCAAATTCCACATAAAATGCTGACAATTTGATGCTTCTATCTCCAACCCTTCTTGAGTTATATAACAAAACACCTCAAAACTGTCCCTTAACACCCCGTTTTACGGTAACCAGACCTTACCTAACCTCAAACCTGACGCAATGATTTTGTCTAGGCATCCATGGGTAAGGAAGAAGCTTCAACAGTGGGAAATGGAAAGTACCATCATGTAGGTCGCCACGAGACAATTCTAATAGTATTTACCCAGTTTTAACCTTTGCCTCAGTGGGGGGGGGGGGGCATTTGTTACCACCCTGTCCAGTTTTTTGCGTGTGAATAAAAAACTGGTGCGAAGCGCCTCACCGCTTGGAGTAGCTTGTAGTTCATCATTTTTTGACAACATATGAAATTTTTGACCCCAGGTTGAGGTCATGTCAGCCTGCCAGGTCAGGAGGAACAATAAAAATATTTCAGAATCACAATGATTTGGACTACTTCTGACAACAAAGGTGTCTTTGGCTGCTAGCCTGCCCTCTAGAAAGGTCATCAGAGATCATTTGAGGCTACAAACAGTTTTTCATATAAAGCCAGGATCTAAATGCTAGGTATAGGAGCACCTCCATTATTTTCCTGCTGCATTCTTGTTGGCAAACCATGTCATTGTCATTATTGAGAGATGTTTTATGGGTATTAATTCCATAAGGAATATTCAATTATTGGTGGTGATAACTCTGCAACTTTGTATTTTTTTGCTACATAATTTCTCCGTTTTGTGCTTTCATCTAGTCAACTCAATGTGAACTGATGTTGGACCCCATTCCAGATCCATCAGTGTCTGAACTACTGCCGCTCATGCGGGCTGCATCAATGTCACCAAAAGGACCAAAGTGGTCTCTGGAGGGCTCCGCTGACAGCGACGGGGAATGGGGTCCGTCACAGAGTGTGAGGAAGTCTCAGAGGCCGAGGAGCTGCACTCCCATAGATAGTGGCTCTGAGAGCGACTTTCGGCCAGTTGTGAAGGAGGAGATAAAGATTGAAGTCACTTCACCAAGGGTAAGTGTTCAAATGCATGGTGCTCACTTCTCATTGGTTTTTAGCTGCGAGGTTAACCCGCGCCGTGCTGGTGGCCTGAACTTTCCGCCGAGTGATGGGGGGGGCGTTTTCACGCCCCCCCCCGTCTAACTCGGCTCCTGGGCCACGTAGCGACACGCGGTAAGCGGCAATCGAAAGAGCGTCAAAAATAAGGACGAAAACACTTCGGTCATTTTTTGGGTCAGGTCAAAGGTCAAAGGTCAGGTCACCAGAGGTCACCAAAGGTAAAATGTTGACTATTTCAACATTTTGGAAACTGCCAACGGCTATCTCGGGAACCGATAGAGCTACAGCGCCGCGGAAAAGCGCATTCGATAGCCCTTTTACAGACCTTTCTGAGTAATGTTCTCAGATTTGACCTCAGGTCAACGGTTTAGCCTCCAGAGGGCAAAAACTCCAAAAATAGCCGTTTTTACGAAAAACGTTTTTTCGTCAATAACTTTTGACTCATAAGCGCCATGACATTACTTTTGCCAGCATCGTGTTCCTCTCGTCGAGACGCGTCGAATGAACTATTTGTTGACCTTGAAAGGTCATTTTGAAAATTTGACCTCAGGTCAAGGTCATGACCTGACCGAAAAGGGTCATGTTGCATGTCAGTCGATCCGTATCGTCGAGCTGAACACATCTGACGTGTTTTCACCGCTCTAGCACGTCTCTATCAAAAGTTATAGCCAAAAAACTGCTGGCGACCGTTCATGACCTGAGATGACCTCAGGGGCACACAGAGGGGTCACAGGTGCATTTTTCCTATTCAGTGTGTCATGTTTACCTATGAACCGATGTTTGAGAGCGTTTTGAACGATATTCGTCCAAAAGAGGCGCATTTCAATTTTCTCCCATTGACTTATAATGGAGAGGTCGCAAAATTGACCTGACCTTAGGTCACAGATATCAAAAATCCGAAATATACATTTTATACATACTGTTACTCATATCAATCGCTGAAAGTTTCAAAGTGATCGTTCAGTCGGTGTAGCTATAGCGAGCCTTTGAACTTTTTCTGAGGTAAGGTCACTTGACGTGACCTGGTGACCTGACCTTGAACGGCCTAGGTCTGAAATTTTCACAACATGTGCGGAAATGATGTAGGAACACGTGTACCAAAAACGGCGGCGCTGCGCGCCGCCGTTTTTGAGATATTCGCGAAAAACCTGAGGGGGGGGGGCGTAAAAACGCCCCCCCCAGCACGGCGCCGGTTAATAAAAGAGGAATGACAGCGCATAATGTGTTCCAATTTGTATATCTGTGGAGGATAAACATCTCATGTTTCATTGAATATTGTTCGTCTGTTGATCCGGTCTAGGTTGAGCGGCCGTCGTCTCCCTCGGTGTCGGACGACGATCCTTTCTCGGACCTCGCTCTGCATTCTTTAGTGAAGGAGGAAAAGTACCGACCTCGATCACCGTCACCGTCTGAGGACTTCATCGGGTTCACTGAGGTGGACCGGGACAGGTTAGGGCATGATTCAGTGCTGTTGTTGAAATTTTAGTTGTTATTTGACATCGTAGACAATGATATATTATCCTTGATGAATTATAATAATATTTGCATTTGTCTGTTCTTTCAGTGCCTGTTTCATCTCCAATGCAAAAAGGAGTCTGTTACTTGGTTGTTCGTCTGCCATTCGAGACTCTACTGAAGGTAAGTTTATATATGTGAAGAGACTGTAAGCAATGGGTTTATCGTGATATCCTCGGTCTTACTTTTGTGCCCTTTTCAGAGAAAATGTAAGTTTTATTTTTATTTTTGGTTTCGTACTCTACAAAGTGATTGAATGGCATTATCGAACCATTCTTATGTTCAATCGCATGCACTCTATTGAACTGACGCGTTACCGAAATGCCACCGAATTATTGATAACCCTGTTGAATTTATTGCAGTTTTTGCTGATAGAGTGTTCATCAAGAGTCAACGTCTCGTCATTAACTACCGAGATGTGGACGGTCTCGATGATAGTAACATATGTGAGTATTCTCCCGATTTTAGTCAATTACAACTTTTCCTCATCAACGGACGAATGTACATAAGCACTCATATTGCAGACAAGTTAAACCGAATACAGGCGCATTGTTTCCGTCCAATGGAACCTTGAACGATTAAACCTTGGTCTGCTCTTCATCAAATCGCTAATAATTTTTTCGCCCTTCTTTCTGACAGTTTGTGACGTGTGCTGCCGCGATTGGGACGGTGAATGTCCCGTCCATGGACCGCTAAAGATCATACACGATACCAAGGTAAGGACTGGTCCATACTGGTCTGATTGGTATTCTTTACACATGACTCCTCTCACATTTAGACATTAAATAATATGACCAATTGTGCCTGATGCCCTAGTGACGGAACGACATGAGCTTCATGTAAAAATGATCTATTTCTTTCACATTTACGTAATCCTCTTAGAGTATCCTCTTAATAGAGTAAATCTTCATCCGCATGGATGAAGTATTTACTCTAATCCATGCTCATAGTTATATTATTGCTTTGCTACTGTCTTGTTAGCAGGTAATACTGTCATGGGTACGTGGTCAAGAACAGGTTCATGATCTATATCCACAAAACATACCCGTCTGATTTACAAACAGGCTTAAGATAATCTCAATGCGTGGATTGTATTGTCGACATTGCGCCCCACATGCGCTGGACATTCCAGGCACGACCCGGTATCGGAGATGTCGACAGGGACGTCAAGACTCTCCCGCCTTCTCTCAGCTCTGGTCCGTCGACAAATCCAGCGTCTGGCACCGGTAAGTTAATGAGGCAAGACAAATGGCGATACGTAACAACTGCTGCGGGACGTTCGATAGGCGTTATCACAAGTGTATGCGCGGCCATTGGGGCGACGTAAGAAAAGAAGAAACCAACTCGCCCCAAGAACTTTAAATTATCAGTTAGCATGCACCTTTTCCTTGATGTGTAGAGAATTTACCATTATTTATTACAGAAAATTGCATTTAAAATCTTCCATTTATGCTTTTTTCATCGTTTGCACAATATGTTCTTTAACTAAGCAAGAAACACTAATTAGAAATAGTTCCCGCATCATCAAGAACAATAGGGAAGGCTTGAGGTGAATAAAATAATTTAAACGGTTTTGTAATCTATGTGAAGGCACTTCTAAAATTGCCTGTAGAAATATTGAAGGCAAAAGTTCAACTTTTTCACAAGACGGATGTCTATAAAACCTATTTAACTTGTGACAACTCAGCCGGCATTTCGTCGCCTACAGCCCAGCTTTCCCTAGTGACCGATAGAGGCGCTGCTATCGATGTCCGCCCGTGCCGCCTAACGTTGATTTGATGCATCATTTGGTGATGGTTGCTTGTGTTGTATGATTTCATGTCCCATGTATCAGTACATGTTGTGTCCATTTAGTCGAGGTGAAGGTATGTATTTATTCGATTTCAGGAGTTTTAGCGGAGAAGGATCTTCCTGCGCGCCAAAGACTCGGTCCTTACGAGGGTATCTTGACCACCGAGCAGAGTCAGGCTCGAACCACCGGGTACAGATGGCAGGTCAGTTTTGTCATTTCTGTCGAATCTCCTCTGCTCTTCTTACAAATACATATTTTTGCTGGTTCATATATTGTATAAGAATATAGCGTCGGCCCCCATTGCTTTTACACTGTCACATGTCGCATCTCTTACTATGGAGTCATTTAGACGATTGAAAACTTTTAGAACACATTTCAAACTAATGTTAGAAACATAGAAAATTGACAATGTTTTCATTGCATACGTGACATTTTTGTTTTGGTCCCAGGATTGATGTGATATTTTTGTTTGGTTCCTTGAATTGATGAACTATGTTTTTGTTTGGTACCTCAGATCAAGAAGGGTGACCGGGTACATCACTCGGTGAATGCCGAAGACCCGAGCTGCAGCAACTGGCTCAGAAGGGTCAACTGTGCCCGCTCCGAGGAAGAACAAAACCTAGTGGCCTTCCAGTACCGGGGCCAGGTATACTTCAGGTGCGTTGTAGTCTTGGAATCCACGGATCTATTCTTCCTAACTGCGTTACGTATTTTATGCGCGGTTCGTCCTGTGGCCCATATTTTTCTTTAATGGATTCGTCGAAGTTATTAATGACTGTGTAAGTGTTGTGACTACACCAATCAAGCTTTCATCAATAATGCTATATTTATCTCCCTATGCAGGACGTCAAAGCCCGTTCCGCGGGGCTCTGAGCTGCTGGTGTACTACGGAGACGACTCGGCCCGGGAACTGACCGTCCACTCGGAGACGTCTGAGAAATCTGTGACTTCCTCTCCGGCCGGACCTTCATCTTCAGGTCAGTTCATCGTTTGCGGCTCCGAGAGCTATGGTGTCCATCGAAGTGACGCTGGTAATGCCATTTACCCTTCTGCCGACAGTAGACTGTTTTTTGCCCGGTTCGTTGAGAAGTTCTGCTACTTTGACGTATGCAGGCACGACGTTTATATGCCAACTTACATCGGCTCGGTTCGTAACTTGAACTGGCATTTCGGCTTGCGACCTAACCAGGTTAGGTCGTTCTATGCTAAAGCAGGTCGCATAATGCGACCTGCTTTAGCATGGAACGTTTTTTTAATGGCCTTTCTTCTTTCTGTGTATTCTTCAGGCATCAGTGGCTCGGTCCAATATCCCCAATGCGGCTTCAGATGTTTGGGAAAACATTGTCTGGACGGACACGTGAAGAGAAGTCACGGCCATATGGGCAGGAACGGCAGATTGAAGTGCGAGTGGTGTCAATACTCGACCGACAGGTCCGACTGTATGAAAAACCACCGCAGAACTCATACAGGGGAACGGCCATACGGCTGCTCCATTTGCAAGGCACGGTTCTCTAGGCGGTCAGGTCTCACCAATCACATGCGGACCCACACTGGGGAGCGGCCATACGGCTGCTCTATCTGCACGGCCCGGTTCACTGAACGGTCCACCCTCACCAGACACGTGCGAACCCACACTGGGGAGCGGCCATACGGCTGCTCTATCTGTACGGCACGGTACACCAAACCGTCCGCCCTCACTATACACATGCGGACTCACACTGGGGAGCGGCCGTATGGCTGCTCCATCTGCACTGCACGGTTCTCTGTTCGAGCAAGCCTAAACAACCACATGCGGATTCACACTAGGGAGCGGCCATACGGCTGCTCCATCTGCAAGGAACGGTTCACTGAACGGTCAAATCTCACCAGACACATGCGGACCCACACTGGGGAGCGGCCGCACGGATGTTCACATTGCCAGGCTCGGTTCGCTAGGCGGGGAGATCTCAACAAACACTTACGTACCCACACGGGGGAGCGGCCTTACGGTTGCTCCGTTTGCACAGCACGCTTTGCTTAACAGCCAACCCTTACGACACATATGCGGACCCACACTGGAGAGCGACCTTTCGGTTGCTCCATCTGCAAGGCACGGTTCACTCGACGGTCACACCTCGATACGCACATTCGAACCCACACTGGGGAGAGGCCGTACGGCTGTTCACATTGCCAGGCCCAGTTCAATGAACGGGGAAGTCTCAGCAAACACATGCGTACCCACAGTCACACGAAGGAGCGGCCGTAAGGCTGCTCAGTGCTCAACTTGCCGGGCTTTGTTCGCTCAACGGGGAAGTTTCATGAAACAAATGCCTACCCACCCGAGGCACAGTGGGGATTTTTCCGATCTAGCGCCTATTAATTCAAAAAAATATTTTTTGGATTTTTGTTTATTTTTTTTTGTGTCAGTAGGGCTAAAAAATGTCTGAATTTTTCATATATGGCATTGTTTTATCTGTATGTCCACAGCAAAACTTGGAAAAATGCGCCCAAATTTCACACTCATGCGTTATTACTCAATGGGCTCAGCAAGGCCCGAAAGTATAGCTCAATTTCATTGTCCTGTCCTGTTGGTTTTAATCTTGCGAGGTCTTAAATTTGCATATCGTCTGAAAGGCACCTTTATTAGGAATGGAATGGCAAACAGAAAGTATGCCACAACATTACTAAGGTCACAAAAATGCCCTTTACCAAAAACCCTTACAGACACCATATTGAAGGAATGGTATTCTAAATAAATGTAGGAAATCAACAATGTTCTCCACACTTTTCCACTCCGAAATATATCCTATCGAATTCGCCACTTTCTTCTGCACAAGACAACGCCTAGTTTGGCTGCCGAAACTTGCCTGAACACGGAATATTCACATTAGAGTATCTTAACACCCCACTCGAGGAGCGCTAGGGCAAACAGCACGATATAGGTATGTTCCGGACATAGGCGAATAATTTTACTTCGTGATTTATATGATGCATATTTTCTGAGACACATTCATTAGGAATAGGATGACAAGCGTAAATTATACATACCGTAACCTTATTAACCATCGCACTTGTGGGGAGGGGGAGGGGGAAGGGGTCGGATAAAACCCCATGGTTTTCCGCAAATTACTCGCGCAAAAAGCGGCCGATCGCGCCGAAACTTTCGGTACCCTCGAGATCATCAATTTTACATCTAACCTAAAAATTTCATGACTCTGACCCAACTGACCTTTGACCTGTGGCATATTTCTCGAGACCATGTTTGGCCGGAATCGCGATTCGGCGTATGCCAGCTCACATTATCCGCGGTTTCCAGTCTTTTTGTGGTTTTAAACGTTCAAATATGTGAAATGATGTTGGTGCCATGCATAATGGTGGGTGTCAAGGTAACGTGAAGGTCAAGTCAAGGTCATTGACCTTTTGATGACCTTGGTTCACTTTTTCGAGTTTTACTTGTTTCTAGGGTAGTTTTTGGTGCTGATTTCGATTTTAGCAGCCATTTGAATATTTACGAAGTAGTTCTAGTGCCTTCGTTCCATGTTACGAAGCTATCAGTAGTAGGTGACACTTCTATGGATGGCCGGCAGGACGCCTACTAATTGATCTAACCTGACCTGACCCGACCTGGCCTAAATGCATAAAGACATCGTCTGTGATCAAAACTAAAATGAAATTCGTGATCAGCACCCCAAAATACCCCGTAACACCCTAACTTTGCGAAGTTTCAAGAGGTCTCGATTTCCCAACTTTAGTTGGGTCATTAAACTGACTTGGAAAGTCAGCTTATGACCTTGGACTTTGAAATTGGATATAGTCGGCCTAATTTCGTCATAGGCAGCACGCTTGGCTTTTCCGCGAAGCTCTAGCTTGATCAGGGGCCAAACGGCTGAGCGGGGGGTCCAATTGAACCCCCTATACTATGTTGATTATGCGCATTTACAGGTAAAATTCTCACCAGGACACACCAGCCAACATCTGTGCACAATCTGGCTACAATTCTACCTATGGTTTGCCCTCTACGAATAAACACGTGCTAGATCGGAAAAATCCCCACTGTGCGAGGGAGCGGCCATATGGCTGCTCAACCTGCACGGCACGGTTCGCTTCGCTTCGCTGTCAAACCTAACCAAACAGATGCGTAGGTGCTCACACTGGGAAGAGGCCGTTTGGTTGCTCTGTCTGCGTTGGACGGTTCACTGCTCGATCCAGCCTCACCATACACATGGGGACCCACACAGGGGGAGCGGCCGTACGGCTGCTCCATCTGCACGGCACGGTTCGCGAGACCGGCAGTCCTCAACAGACACATGCGTACCCACACTGGGGGAGCGGCCGTACGGCTGCTCCATCTGCACGGCACGGTTCACGAGACCGGCAGTCCTCAACAGACACATGGGGACCCACACGGGGGAGCGGCCGTGCGGCTGCTCCATCTGCACGGCACGGTTCGCGACACCGGCAGTCCTCAACAGACACATGCGTACCCACACTGGGGGAGCGGCCGTACGGCTGCTCCATCTGCACGGCACGGTTCACGAGACCGGCAGTCCTCAACAGACACATGGGGACCCACACGGGGGAGCGGCCGTACGGCTGCTCCATCTGCACGGCACGGTTCACGAGACCGGCAGTCCTCAACAGACACATGGGGACCCACACGGGGGAGCGGCCGTGCGGCTGCTCCATCTGCACGGCACGGTTCGCGACACCGGCAGTCCTCAACAGACACATGGGGACCCACACGGGGGAGCGGCCGTACGGCTGCTCCATCTGCACGGCACGGTTCGCGAGACCGGCAGTCCTCAACAGACACATGGGGACCCACACTGGGGGAGCGGCCGTACGGCTGCTCCATCTGCACTGCACGGTTCACTCAACCGTCACGCCTCACTAAACACATGGGGACCCACACGGGGGAGCAGCTGTATGGCTGCTGTTTCTGCAAGGCACGATTCATTGTTCAATCAAGTCTCATCAGACACATGCGGACCGACGAGAAGAGCGGTCCGCATGCGTCCGCGGTCCGCAATTTTAAAACATTAGGTATACTAAACCCTCTATAAAACTACGTGCATAAAGTTGCATTATATTCACATTCAGATTCGCGTGCACATTCGCGGACCCCTCGGATTTGGCTCAAAATTGCACAGCTCATAGATTTTGAGCTCCTGATTGCGAAAATCATGTTTTTATTTCACGCCGTCGAGTGGTTCTCAAAATATTCAAATTTGTATTACTGCTAACATATTCTGGACCGTAACCCTTATTGGAAAAATCGGACCCCTCCAAATTTTTCAAAAATTCCTGAGTTGATGTAAACATAAGCGCTGATCCCAAAAAACTTATTTGTACTTAACGCCGTCCCATAGTTGTCTCAGGATGAGCATCTAAAGTTCAAGGTCGTTCAAGGTCATGTACCTTTTCTCACCTTTTGGCGCTATTTGACACGTGACAGCTTTATATTTATGATGGACATTCGCCCTACCTCCTATTAAAACAATATACTGAAATCCCAGGGGCGTTGCTGTACCAAAATGTAAAAAAAAGCGTCAAAACCTCTTTCATACAGCTAATAGTTAAATACAAGGGATATTCGAATTTGCCACACATAAAGCAAATTTGTCGGACATGGTCGGACCCCTCCGATATCGTTCAAAATCTCAGGAATGATGCTCCTTGACCTGAACATGAAAATGGTACTCCCTTTGAACGCCGTCAAGAACTTTTCCAGATATACGCATCCATGTACATTCAAATTGCATAAGTTTTGCATATGGACGTTCGGCGGACCCCTCCGATTTCGTTGAAAATCTCAGGAATGATGCTCCTTGACCTCCTGAACATGAAAATGGTACTCCCTTTGAACGCCGTCAAGAACTTTTCCAGATATACGCATCCATGTACATTCAAATTGCATAGGTGTTGCATATGCACGTTCGGCGGACCCCTCCGATTCCGTTCAAAATCTCAGGAATGATGCTCCTTGACCTCCTGAACATGAAAATGGCACTCCCTTTGAACGCCGTCAAGAACTTTTCCAGATATACGCATCCATGCACATTCAAATTGCATAGGTGTTGCATATGCACGTTCGGCGGACCCCTCCGATTTCGTTCAAAATCTCAGGAATGATGCTCCTTGACCTCCTGAACATGAAAATAGTACTCCCTTTTAACGCCGTCAAGAACTTTTCCAGATATGCGCATCAATGCACATTCAAATTGCATAGGTGTTGCATATGCACGTTCGGCGGACCCCTCCGATTTCGCTCAAAATCTTAGGAATGATGCTCCTTGACCTCCTGAACATGAAAATGGTACTCCCTTTGAACGCCGTCAAGAACTTTTCCAGATATACGCATCCATGCACATTCAAATTGCTAGGTGTTGCATATGCACGTTCGGCGGACCCCTCCGATTTCGTTCAAAATCTCAGGAATAATGCTCCTTGACCTCCTGAACATGAAAATAGTACTCCCTTTGAACGCCGTCAAGAACTTTTCCAGATATGCGCATCAATGCACATTCAAATTGCATAGGTGTTGCATATGCACGTTCGGCGGACCCCTCCGATTTCGCTCAAAATATCAGGAATGATGCTCCTTGACCTCCTGAACATGAAAATGGTACTCCCCTTGAACGCCGTCAAGAACTTTTCTAGATATGCGCATCAATGCACATTCAAATTGCATAGGTGTTGCATATGCACGTTCGGCGGACCCCTCCGATTTCGCTCAAAATATCAGGAATGATGCTCCTTGACCTCCTGAACATGAAAATGGTACTCCCTTTGAACGCCGTCAAGAACTTTTCCAGATATACGCATCCATGCACATTCAAATTGCATAGGTGTTGCATATGCACGTTCGGCGGACCCCTCCGATTTCGTTCAAAATCTCAGGAATGATGCTCCTTGACCTCCTGAACATGAAAATAGTACTCCCTTTGAACGCCGTCAAGAACTTTTCGTGATATACGCATCCATGCACATTCAAATTGCATAGGTGATGCATATGCACGTTCGGCGGACCCCTCCGATTTCGTTCAAAATCTCAGGAATGATGCTCCTTGATCTCCTGAACATGAAAATGGTACTCCCTTTGAACGCCGTCAAGAACTTTTCCAGATATGCGCATCAATGCACATTAAAATTGCATAGGTGTTGCATATGCACGTTCGGCGGACCCCTCCGATTTCGTTCAAAATCTCAGGAATGATGCTCCTTGACCTCCTGAACATGAAAATGGTACTCCCTTTGAACGTCGTCAAGAACTTTTCCAGATATACGCATCCATGCAGATGCACATTCAAATTGCATAGGTGTTGCATATGCACGTTCGGTGGACCCCTCCGATTTCGTTCAAAATCTCAGGAATGATGGTTCTTGACCTACTGAACATAAAAATGGCACTCCCTTTGAACGCCGTCAAGAACTTTTCCAGATATACGCATCCATGCACATTCAAATTGCATAGGTGATGCATATGCACGTTCGGCGGACCCCTCCGATTTCGTTCAAAATCTCAGGAATGATGCTCCTTGATCTCCTGAACATGAAACTAGTACTCCCTTTGAACGCCGTCAAGAACTTTTCTAGTTATACGCATCCAAATTGCAATTTGAATGTGCATGAATACGTATATCTGGAAAAGTTCTTGACGGCGTTGAAAGGGAGTACCATTTTCATGTTCAAGAGGTCAAGGAGCATCATTCCTGAGATTTTGAACGAAATCGGAGGGGTCCGCCGAACGTCCATATGCAACACCTATGCAATTTGTATGTGCATGGATGCGTATATCTGGAAAAGTTCTTGACGGCGTTCAAAGGGAGTACCATTTTCATGTTCAAGAGGTCAAGGAGCATCATTCCTGAGATTTTGAACGAAATCGGAGGGGTCTGCCGAACGTGCATATGCATCACCTATGCAATTTGAATGTGCATGGATGCGTAATATCTGGAAAAGTTCTTGACGGCGTTCAAAGGGAGTGCCATTTTCATGTTGAGGAGGTCAAGGAGCATCATTCCTGAGATTTTGAACGAAATCGGAGGGGTCCGCCGAACGTGCATATGCAATACCTAATACCTATGCAATTTAAATGTGCATGGATGCGTATATCTGGAAAAGTTCTTGACGGCGTTCAAAGGGAGTACCATTTTCATGTTCAGGAGGTCAAGGAGCATCATTCCTGAGATTTTGAACGATATCGGAGGGGTCCGACCATGTCCGACAAATTTGCTTTATGTGTGGCAAATTCGAATATCCCTTGTATTTAACTGTTAGCTGTATGAAAGAGGTTTTGACGCTTTTTTTACATTTTGGTACAGCAACGCCCCTTGGATTTCAGTATATTGTTTTTGTAGGAGGTAGTGCGAATGTCCATCATAAATATAAAGCTGTCACGTGTCAAATAGCGCCAAAAGGTGAGAAAAGGTACATGACCTTGAACGACCTTGAACTTTAGATGCTCATCCTGAGAAAACTATGGGACGGCGTTCAGTACAAATCAGTTTTTTGGGATCAGCGCTTATGTTTACATCAACTCAGGAGTTTTTGAAAAATTTGGAGGGGTCCGATTTTTCTAATAAGGGTTACGGTCCAGAATATGTTAGCAGTAATAGAAATGTGAATATTTTGAGAACCACTTGACGGCGTGAAATAAAAACATGATTTTCGGAATCAGGAGCTCAAAATCTATAAGCTGTGCAATTTTGAGCCAAATCTGAGGGGTCCGTGAATGTGCACGCGAATCTGAATGTGAATATAATGCAACTTTATGCACGTTATAAAACTGTGGTGGTATGTGCTGCTTTGCGCGCAACATCTGCCGCACTGTTAAGATACCATCTTTCTTACCAACAGACAGACCGTGCTCTTCTTCAGTCCTTTGCGTTGAAGCTATGCTGCTCTGATGTATGTTGGCTTGACGTTTAATTACCGCGTTACCAAGCTACGTGGGTTTGGTTCGTTGGACTCGCATTTCGTGGGGAATAGAAATCGGTCCTGTTATAGGTCCACTATGTCGATTCGATTGTTTCAGAAAAAAAACTTCTACCACATCGTTCAGTAGCCTTTATTTGGACCTTTATCCGTCGCCGGGCCGGGGGGATGGGGTGGTCGCCTCCCCCGTCCTCCTTTTCGCAGACATCTAAAAAGCGGCTGTCGGAGAGGCCAGTGTCAGCCAATCAGCGTGCAGCTGTTTTTTTAAAGAACGCAATATGATTGGTGAACGCGTAATATCCTCCGCCACCATATTTAGTTCCAACGGAAGATAGAATATAATTCTTCGTATATCTGTTATAAGTTAAAAATCATAAACATGTTTTTTAATCGGCATCATTTTTGTCATAAAATTATCATTTAACTGTAGCAAGAAAAAATTATATAGGTATTTGGGAGTGGTATATATCCTTAAAAGGACTGCTGAGGGGAACGATTATACCTTTTAAAATGGTTTTGAATAGTTGACGGCCGATGGGTAGGGAAGATTGGGGCAGATAGTGTCACGGGGCACATCCTGTCAGCAGGGTTTTCTCGAAATTTATCGAGCGCATTTATGTTGTTGAAGTTAAAAGGTTTGTTTTTGCTTGACAAAGTCCGGTACTATCAATTCAACAACGTGCTGGTGACCAGGCTGTAGTCACTGGCATACCTGTAACGTGTTCGTTTTTCGTGATGTCATCGTGTGAATTTGCCTTTTTTATGAGGTACCCAATCTCTTTAATTACTTAATTGTTTTGGGATATTGCTTAATATTCAGGATCAGTCTAACGAAACAAGATTTCAATGTCTAAAACTATCAAATAGATGTAATTTTTTACTCCTTAAGAAGTTTGCACCATGACGTCAGCATTCTCTCGTGACGCCACTTAGTACAGTGGATCTTATTAGGATCTCCAGACGTAACTAGATGGCGTTGAGCCTTAGTCGAGTCCATGTCAAATTCAAGGAGAGGTCACTACCGAGCTGGGCCCGATTGGGAGGTGGGCGGGGAGGGGGGGTGGCGAGGTCACGGTGCGGGTGACCTGTCAAACAGCCCCGGCGCGGTGG